CGAAGAGCAACATTGAAAGAAAATGAGCAAGACAGTGATGAAATGTCAGAGGTAAATTATAGAACGTACTTGGAGCAAGTTTTGAAGAAGTGCGAACGTAGAATTGTGAAGATGGTAGACGAAAGAGAAAGTTCAGAAGGAGAAAAGGCAGAAACAAATGAGCAGATACCAATGTATGAAAACGTAAAGAAGGGGGTGAAGTTGAAAGGGTGTAACCCACAAAACGAAAGGACAAGGGTATAAGAGTAAATTCGTTAGCAGATAGGACAGTTGAGGGACGTTCTGACAGTTACAAATTAATGAGAAGTGGCATGAAAGGAGTAGTGGCACACGTCACATCTATCAGGGAAAGCCACGTGGAAAGTGGTTATCATTACATGGGAGAGAATAATTACATGGGAGGAGAATCGTTTCTTTAAAAAGAGAAACTCTTGTCGTGACTCAATTGGGATATCTCAATTAGCGATCTGAGTAAAGAAGGAAACTCGGATAAGGCCTTTACTCAAGCTCAGCTGAATTATCTCCGCTATGACCCTCCTAGTTAAACCAAATGAGGAGTTTTGAATAAACCAAGGCAGGAATAAATTCGAGATCAACATTCATATGAAAGTAGTAATTCGTACATCCCGACACCCTGAACTATCAGTCTACCGAGCTGGAGGGCGACTGTTGTGGACCTGAGCAAGGCCCATATCTTTGGGAGGCCCAGACGACCCGAGCCCAAAGGTAAGTTCTACAAATAGGAGCTAAAGACCACATGTATGACTGATCTCTTTTTAACTTATTTTATGCAATCACACAGCACACACACCACCCTCCATCTTGGCTAAGGTCGTTATACCGTGTGTCGTGATTCGCTACCCCTCCAGATACCTAAATCTATAGGTATCTCGAGAAAGCACCAGATCCAATATCAAACAAGCTAACCTCTGGTTAGACACTTCTGCCATTCAGGCAGAACAAACATATATTTGGATATTTGGCCAATATATTTCGATATCCCTTAGGAGATATCGTGATATTTTTTATTAGAATGTCATTTCTACCTTATTTTGAATTTCTATAACATTGGTTATGTTTGGACGTTCAACAAAATATTATTATAATTGTGTTCTTTTGTTTATTTCGTATTATGAATGTTTGGATTCACTGATTTCAAAAATGGCATAATTTTCGTAAATTGGTGCTACATTCCAATGAGTAGGAATGTGATAGTTGACAATTTGTGAGGGATGTCTAACCGTGTTTGAGCTCAATACACGTACAGGCCAACCAAAAGCATATACAATAGTGATGGAATAGGTCTGAAGGGCTATATAGTATGGTTGATCCAAATTTGGACAAAAAGTAGAGAGTTATCCTATGGTTTGCTGGGATTATATCTTTCCTTTTATGGGTTTATTTCTAGGTACAACAAATCAAGGAGAAAAACTGAAAAATGATTGAATAGCACGGTCGTGGACTGTTTTCATGAATAGGAGATTGCACTTGAATTATTTGGCTCTTGTAGAGCTCTTATGTCATTATTCCATGTTATGTTAGACCGTGATGTTGGGGCTGTTTAGTGATGGCAAAGGTTGATGTATGTTCTAATTCATGAATTGATTGTGTTGTATATATTTTGAACATATTCATGTCTAGACTAAAAGCTGACATGTTTAAGTTATGACTATATATACCTAGATGTTTATATTTGATACTCCTACGTATGACACTTCGATTATGTAGCTAAACTGAACAACCCTTAAACAATGATTGTTCTCTAACTTTTTGATCATGTATGCAGTAGATCATGATCTTATAATGATACTGGTTACAAATGTGATGTAAGAGGAACTATACATAAACGAAGATGTGCTTTTAATTACTTGGACAAATTTGGTGTCGTCATTATATCTTGTATTTTAGTAAGTATGAGGTATATAAATAAGGAGTATTGGTCAACTAGTTAATGATTAAAAATTTAAGAAGCCAATCAAATCCCCTGTAATTAGTAAAGAAGCTACAGAAGAATTGGTTGAAACATTATATTATGTTTGAACATGTATGGTTGTTTGCAATCAAAGCTATAGACGAATCTCAAAATTTTAGCTTATTTTGCACATTGTATACTGTTTATGAAGTTTGGTGGTTGAGCGCTCGAACCGCGTAAGTGTAAAACTATCGATGTCAACACGGGGTATTATGAGTCAAGTTTTGGAAACATTGCTCTTCCTCTGAACCTTAAGGACAAGGTCCTTTGTGATGAGGAAGGAAATGTAACATTAAGGGGTGTTCGGTATAGAGAATCGGCTGGAAATCTTGGAAAGAGATATAGATAAAATATGCTTACCATTTTTGGTAAGTGTTGAAGACCAAAAAAAATCGGTATAATATTGAGATCGTGAAAATTGTTTTGTACTAGACGATGGCAAAAATAAATGACATTTGAACCATGGTATTAATTTAATCCACGAATAGATATACCCCTTTTGCAATTTTTAAGACCAAAATGCCTTGAAAAAGGAAACTTTGAAGTACAACTTGTCTGAAAAGGTGAAAGACGACAGCGTGAAATTGGCGCATTGAATAACGACATGCTTACCTTGTTTGCTGTCTCATTGAATAATTTAATATAATGGGTAATTTCATAATTTCACTACGCATTCCCATCAATATTTCACCATCATCCAAACATGGTATTAGTAAAAAGAACTCAACTTTTCCGAAAAAATTGGCGCCTACCAATCACCTTTTTGTAACCTACCTAGGTCAAAAAAAATTCCATCATATTCCAAGCAATTTTTTCTTACCAGTAATAAAAAAAATTTCTTATACCAAAGATCCATAAGAAAATCAAGGAGGAAAAAGCAAAGCTCATTAGGCTATTAGGAAGTTACACATTTTGCAACTCCATCAAATGTAGTTAGAGATTGATAGATTTACTTACTTGTAGCTTATCTATCAGTGTGTAGGTGGAACGATTACTTCATCATAAACTTCAAGTGCTCTAGAAAGTCTATAAATAATCATTGCACAAATGACTCTGATATCAATAAATTTTAAATTTAGGAAGTTATACATTTTAAATTTTGAATAGAAAAATATTTCTGCAGTTAATGCAGATAAGTTATCTACATTTACTCTCAAAATGACGTCGTTTTGGGGTTGAAAGATTAAAAAATTATTATTATAAAGATTATAATAACCCTCAAATAAATTAAAATTACAAAAACACCATGATTTTCGTCCCAAAACGACGTCGTAGTGGACTTACTGCAGATAACTTATCTGCAGTAACTGTAGAAAAAGCGAACCTAATTTTGAATTCACATTCTTCCATAGTTGTTTTTTCTCTGTGACAGGACCTCATATTCTATCAATCAAACAATATGTATAAGGGAAAAAAGGCGTGTCATTTTAAATGACACACCTTACATTTTTTCACTCTCAAAAATAGGCGGAACTCACATTTTTAAAAAAATTCCCTCCACTCTCTCTCCAATGATTTATCTCTTTCTCTCACTTAAAATTAGGGATGTTAACGGGCCGAGCCGAGCTTTGGTCTTAAAAGCTAAGCCTGTGTTTAAATGTGTCAGTTTGACCAAACTTGTTACCTATTATAAATATAATTATCGGCCTGTGGCCTGGTTTATTTACAAAAACTAAAAGTCTGGCTTAGCCTGTTTAAAAAAAATAAGACAACAAAAATTTATCCAAACATAATATACAATCAACAATACTAGTAATTCTATATATATTCATAAATTCAATATATATTCAAATAGCATAGTATAGAAAAAAAAATCATTTAAAAAGTCTGTTTAACCAATAAAATGGGATGAAATGGATTGAGGAGAAAGAGAGGGCTATTACAAGTAATATAAAAAATATAAAATCAAAAAATAATAATATACTAGGCTAACCTCGGAGGCTCTAAGGCCGAACTTTTGAATTGGAGCTTGTGGTCTTTTTTTATTAAACGAGCTTTTATACAAGTTCAAGTCTAATACCAATAACCAATTTTAGACATGTAAGCTCAAGTCTTCACGAGTCGAGCCAAAAACCCCTGAAAGGCCCCTGGTTCATTTAGCACCCTTACTTAAGATGAAATAAATTTATGTCCTTTAAAATGATACACATTAAGTATAAATTATTTTTCACCGTTAACCAAGCTATAAAAAAAAAGGTTCAGCTCATCTATAATGGCAAAGCCTCAGTTGAAGGGTGTTTATCAAGTTCAATTTCTTTGCTTTTATGCTTTATTTTCTCTGATAAACAGAAGATCGTAACAGGAGTGGCGAGAAATTAGTAAAGGAGAAATAGTCGGGAGTTGGGACCGACGGAAAAGCGCATTTAATTATTGTTTGCTTATCAAGATTCAAGATCACATAAGATGAGATGTGTACCGATCCTTTCATGTGAAAAAGTGATTATGTGATTATATTATTTGATCGTAATTACTCATTTAAAAATTATATACTTTCTTTCTTATCTCATCATTAACGAATGATTGTAATCAAATAATATAATTTACATGATCACTTTTTCACATGAAAGAATCCATACCTGTCTTAGATCGAGGGCAGCACACTAGTCCAATTATAAACAATAAAAATATGGTTATATTAATTAAAAAAATTAATATTTTTTATATTATAGAAAATAAATTATCTCTTTTACAGACATAAAAAATGTATAAAGCCCATTTTTTTCTCTTCTTTTTATATGATTTCATATAAATATCACACATTTTTATGTATATATAAGAAATAATTTTATCTCTTTAACCTAACATGCAAACATTAATCTCATTATCACCAGACAATTCGTATTGACAAACATAGTTCAAGAAAATAGAACAGAGGTGCACCCGAAAACTAATGGGAAGGAGCCATACTTACTAACCTCATCTATACATTTTGCAGCAATCAAATTTCTGTAAGAGCATCTAATATTTAGACATAATATTACCCTTGTCACTTTGTAAACTATCATTTGCACCATTCTTTTCTTTTCTTTTTCTTGTTTTTTTGGGTTCTAATAGCTTAAGTTGGTCACAATTCAACTGTTATTGTTGTAATCGAACATAACTATCACATACTGTTGCCCAACTGTCAACATCTGAAAATTCTGAAAACTAACACAAAGCATAAAACATGAGTAAAAATTACAACTCAAAAAACTGCAAAACTAACTAACTCAGCAATTCCCTAAAAAGGTAACTAAACGAACAAGTTTAAAAGACATCAACTTCTATTTGTAAAAAAAAAAAAAAAAGACAACTTCAACTTTTGCTACTTATCATCGACGGCAACAATTTTGTATTTCCCCGATTGCTGTTGCTGCACAAGGAAAACCAAAAACGACAAGTTTAATTAAGCCATGTGAATCTAATCCAGCATAAAACTTGTTCATACAATACCAATCAACCAAACCATAAAAGCTTGACTTCAATATGTCACATGGTTGATTTAATTTTATGTAAAAATCAATTCTCATGATAGAACTATAGTATTAAAAAAAAAAAAGATTTGAATTGATGAATAAACTAATTTTCATTTTTAAATTTTTAAAAATGAAAAACTTGTTTTAATAATTTTACTTTCTTACCCCTTAATTAGAATAGATAAAATTCAAAACTAGATAAATAAATAAGATTAAAATAAATAATTAAAAGTAATTAAAACAAAATCAAACAAAAATAAAAATAACTCAAATTCAAGTAAATTAGTATTTCAATACTTTCTAAACAATAAACTTCACTTATAAACAAATTAGTTACTAAAATTAGTCATTTCAACCAAACATAAGAGTTTAAACTTTTTAAATAGATGAACTTTGTTATGCTGACAATGCATAATTGAATTATAATATCGGAAAATAATATTAATAACAAAGAGTTACTATTTGTCATTTTAAATAAAATAAATGTTATCATAAAGAAATAAATGAGTGATTTTTTTATTTAAATTTTAAATAAAAAATATTAATTTATTTTTTTCTCATAATTATATATTATTTAAAAAAGAAAAGTGTTTGTACTTTTAAATGACACAACTTATCTCATTTCACTCTTACAATAAATTGGGACCCACACCTTTATAATTTTTTGTCTACTCTCTCTTCTTTTATTTATCTCTTTCTCTCACTTAAAATGAAACAACTTTACTTTCTTTAAAATGATATACAATTTTCTCTATTTAAAATGATAAATAATTGTTTTAGTAATAAATCCAATAAAAAATAAAAAGATGTTACCTTATCCCATATTTGAGTGTGGGTTTTGCAGAACCCAGCAACAATGGTGGCACCCTTCTTCCCTTCCTTATACTCAATACAAAGATCCTCTCTGAGGCCACAAGTAACATGAAAAGCCAAACCACACTTAGGCTCAGAGCAAACCAAAGCACAACCATCACAAGAACCACAAACATAACACTTCTCCAACCACCTCTTCTTTGGAATCTTTGAGCAATCGATCCCTTCCCTTCCTTCTGAGTCCAAGAAAAACACCTCTGGAACCAACAGCGCGCACACCACGTGTGCCCAACGCTGATCCGTGGTGCGTTTCATTGCACCCTCCTTCACTGGGCACAGCGAACAACAAACAAAATCACCCTTTTCCTCACCCTCGCTGAAACGACACCGTTCGCAGAACCAGTCACCATCTGGGACACCCTTTGAGAGTGGGTTCCCATAGCATGAAGCGTGCACCATGACGTCACACCCGTCGCATAGAACGATTGGATCCGCAGGGTCACCATCGGTGCTCTGGCACACACAGCATACAATCCCATCATCATCGCTATTATTATCATCGTTGATGTTTTCTTCTTGTTGGGCTTTTTCGGGGGATAATTGGGCCTCGTTGATGGGCTCATTGTTGAGGTCAAAGGATCGCGAAACGACGTCGTTGGGAGCGAGGTGATGGGATTGAAGGGCGTATACCCTTTTTTTAGCGGGTAGAGAATAAACAGTGTTAGAGGGTTGAGGAGGTGATGGTGGGTCATCAAGAAACGTGGGGTTTCGAGACTCCTTGCGTTTCTTGGCTGGTAAGGGTGAGCATGAACTATGGTGTTGTTGCTTTTGCATGAGTCTCAGTCTCTTGTTGGGTGGTAGATCGTTGAGGAATGGAATGGTGGCTTCCATTTTGGGGTTTGAGATTGGGAATTTGGGTTGGGAGAGAAGATGGGAATTATTATTTGAAGAAAAAATGGATTTGTGAGGGAAAAGTTTTGTGTTTTGGGTTTTGGGGATTTTGAATTGAAATTCGGGAGGGTAATGGAGCGCGTGAAATGAAAAGGTGAACTACTACTAACAGGGAGGGGTAAAATGAAAAAATAGAAAGTTGTCAAGTGTTGAAAATAAGGCGGGAGATTAAAACGCTGGTCATTTTAGAGAAATTGATGAATTCGTTAATTACTTAACCGCGCTTTTTTTCGAATCTGGGATGTCGATTCCTGTTCCGTGTAGGACAAATTTATTTAATTGTTATTAAAACTGTTTTAGTTATAAATAAAATAATTTAAACGGTTGAGATCTTATATGTTGCGAAAAATAAAAAAATACAATATGGTTGGTAAGTGATTAATCTGAGAAAATAATTATTTTTAAATATTTTTTAATTAAAATGTTTATAAGCTAATACAAATTCGTAATAAAATTATTCATTTCAGTTAAAAAAGTGAATGGATTATTGTTACTGAAGTATTAGTTAAAGAAAGTTGCACTCGATAGAATCATTTTTAAAGATGTTGTCGGCATCAATTTAGCTAACAAAGCAGAAGACGAGACTCACGGATTTGGAAATTAGATTATGTTTAGGTAGTGTTTGGTTGAAAGTTTATTTTGGGATTGATGGAAAAGTGTAACTGGATATTGGAAAATATCACGTTTGGTTTAGGTTTTTTCAAAAAATACCAGGCAAATAGGATAGATGAAAAAATGATTTTTGTGTTGATTTTTGGATGAAATTCACTGTTACAGAATACCACTTGAGATGTGGTATTTTGAGATAACTGGGGAAGTGAAAAATCAGGTGCAAAATTTCTCCCGAACATAGATTTTGCATATTTAAATAATTTTCCCTGGTAATATTTGGGTCAACCAAACAACTTTTTTAACATTTTTCTACTAAACTCACTTTCCAACCATTTCTGTATAAATTACATTTTCCTAGTAAAAAAAATTTCTCCCGAACCAAACACTACCTAGAAGCTCCCAAAAAACATATCGTGCCGGAAGAGGGCATTATGAAGGACCCTAATTACACTCGAGTTAGACTTAACTTATATTAAGAAATTTGGAAAAAAAAATTAGTAAAAAGTCACATGTATCCTCTATGAAAGATATTTATGTTTGAATCAAAAACATTCACATCATATTGAAGTTAACTCTTTTAAAGAATTTTTTTTGCATTCACAAAGACTTGAACCCAAGACTTTATTTAAGTAAAATCAAGCATATACTACTTGAATCAATTCTCTTTAATTGTAATTCGCTATTAATTAGTAAAAACTTTCATAAACTTTTGTTAAAAATTTAAAATGATTTAATAAAAAAACAAAGGGTTTTATAAGAGTTATGTTGTAGGAAAAGTGATTGTGTAATGTTATAGAGATTTGTTTTGCGTGTCGTAGTTTTTTTTTTCCTTCAAAAAGTGTGGACCCCACAAAATATTGTGTGTATAGAAAAGTTTGTTGTGTCATGGTAAATGACAAATGCAAATCTCAAAAACAAATTTTTACAAAATTCACGAATATCTTAATTGTTCGAGTCTCTCTCTCTCTCTCTCTCTCTATATATATATATATATATATATATATATATATATAAGGTGTAGCGATTGTATAGTGACTGCACTTAAGGATTGGTGCAGTCATGTAAAACTATGTCGTTTTATAATGTGAAATCATTAAATATTGAGAATTATAACCATACAAAGGTGAAAATAAATATAAACCATTAAATATGAAGAATCATAATCATATAAAGGTGAAAATAAATATAATATTTATATTTTTTGCAATTAATTTTGAAGGTGAAAATAAATATAATATTTATATTTTTTGCAATTAATTTTGAATGCGAACTTCTTTTATTCCACTCAAAATGACGTAATTTTTAGGTGACTGCACAAATGCTTATATGCAATCACATTACAAAATATTTTGCTATATATATATATATATATAGACATATATTTAAAATTTTAGGTGTAGTTTAATGTTCACTTTTTCCAATCAAAGTTTATTTCAACCAATTAGAAATAATTAAGCTAATTAACTTCCAAATGTCTAAATCTGTGATAATTGGGCTTAAAAAATTATGGGGTGCGTATTGATAAATGTTGAACTTTAAAATGGGCCAATTTCCCGTCTAATGGATTGGGTGGGTATTACTTCATATAGGTCATTGATATCTTTGCCTAACCCACGTTATTTACGAGGATAAATGGTTAAGTGGGTAATATCTTTGTCTTCAACTGTGATGTGGGGTCCGATTACTTGCTTATTTGGAGACTTCACTGCCTTCCTTTGGTGAAGGAGCCCAAGTAAGAAATTTCAAGATAAGATTATATGAAATTAGAACACCAAAAGGTTTAGGCTTACTTGTTGAAGATATTATTCTTGATTTCTTGAAGATTTCTTGAAGGTTTATTGTTTCCTCTGATGCTCCTGCAATAGAAAGACCAGTATCTTTTTCTGCAATTCACACCACTCCCTGATCACAACCGTCGATGGGGCAAGTTGTGAAGTGACGATTTTTTAACACGTGAATGCAGAGGGGACCTAGCCAAACTTATTAACCCTAGTCCCCTTCCTATCATGGGCCTATGGGTTAGACCTACATTGTTACCCACACTAATCAGTTTATAGATATTCAAGTCCAAAACAAAAAGATCACTAATTTAACTGAGCTTTATACTGCACCCCTATATGGATCATGACTTAGCCCGTTTTTATTAAAACAATAAAAACTACAATTGATTGAAGCCCACAATTATTATAAAAATTTCTAACATTCTTCCACTTGGGCAAAATCAATTGTAAAATTTTAATTTAAAAGAGAAAAGGAAAACAAGTTATTTGAAAACGACTCTCAGGCTAAGGATTAATTCTTATAATGTGGCCATATTTTAAGAAAACACATGATCCAAGGTGCGATATCTGAATATGACTCCATCCAACTAAAATCAAATAATATTGAATCAGGCAGTGACTATACCATTACCGATATAAGACCTTCTATGGTCACAAATGTTACTTGACTCTGTCGACTAGTCATTAGTGTAGAGTGTAGCAAGAAAATAACATGCCAATGTGACCCAACAACAGCCAAACTGATATTTTCTCTGTCAGTCCTCAAATTTCTCTCAAATGCCTTAAAGCTAGAGAAATTCCATGATTTATGAAAAAATCATCATATAATCAAATATTGTGTCAACTACGGGGCCCTGTAGTCCTAATAACATCATTATGTCTCAAACTCTCGTATATTGTCAACCACAGACATGATGATTCCAACGACACTGAACACTTTTTTCCCTTTATTTTATTAAAAAAAAATTGGTTTGTACAAATGTCACCTTATTTTGACAGTTTTTTTTTCTTTCAAAGATTTGTAGAAAACTATCACTAACATTGTTGTTTTCACCATTTCCCCACAAATATTTAAAAAGAGAAAGCAAAGTAAAATCAAAGTAAAGATAAATTTTGTATTTGATAGTGAAAGCAGAAAAATGAAAACAAAAGAATATTTTCACAAATCAAAGTACCCTTAAGTTGCTTAGAAATTAATCTCAAAATTGATTTAAAATACATATTAGTATTACATACATAAAATATACTAAATATTTTTTTAATGAATATATATGTCATTTCCATCAATTTAAATTTCACTCTACATTATATCCCTTACACCAAACTCTACATAATCACTTTCCATGCCATTTTGTTTCTAATCAGTATCAAACTATGGCATTGCAATAATATTTCCATTGCAATTGACTTATTCTTATTCCATGGAATTTCACTTATTCAATGAAATTGCATTATTTGCACCAAATGTAGCATTAGTCTAGCTTAATTCTTACAAAATTTATGGAATCACTTTGGTATTCATATTTTTTTAAGCATAATGATACAAGGATGATTTGTCCATCATTTATGACTTGTTGAACAAATTTGACAAATTAAATTTTTATAATAAAACTATCGATCGATGGATGTTTGGAAATTTACAACAAGCAAGTACAAAATACATGTGTAAAGGACACCTCGTGTTACTTTCATTCTTCTCTCTGTTTTCACAACCATAAAACCTGTCCCACATCCCTTTTATTTTACTTCCCTTAGCCGAAACCAGAGTAAACACACAGCATTAACTTCCCAAAATTAACTGAGCTTTCCATGACTTGATGACGACCTCAGAGTTCATGTGAGAAGCCTTAAATTTCCTTTGAATGAAGAGCCATCTTTCAATTCAACACTAGCGGCTATAATATTAAATAAGACCCCACAAACGTAAATTAGAGTCCAAGTTTCAACAACTCAGCTAGCGGTGGACCTCATATGAAGCTTGCCAACTCAACAAGTCAGCATGTCATGCACATTTCTTTTTTTTTTTCTTTTTTTTTTCTTGGTAATATTCCATGTTACCAAATATATTCACTCAAAGCAAACCACGCTTCTCGCTTATGATTCTGGGTTCACTTTGTTTCACTAAAATAGAAAAAAGCAAGTTACTAATGGAAGCTTTGTGGGATTTGGAAGACAAATTGAAGCTTTCAACACAAGGTGCTATTCTTCTACTAGCATGTGCAAGTTTTGCAGTTGTTAGCCTTTGCATTGTTATTATACTTAAAAGAAAGGCCAGTAACAATAAGATTGTGCACCAAGAAGTTGATATAGATGAGAATGAGACTACTACTAATACTACTACTAGTTCTACTACCTCCACAGAATGGTCAGAACCAAGTTGTGGGTGGATTTCAGTAAAAAGGTTTCTGATGGGGTCAATGCTGTGGAGCAGGGCAAGCAAATTGGAAGAGAACATTGGATGGCAGAGGGAAAGGGGAACCCCATTGCTTGGCTTACAAAGGCATGGTTTTGAAAATGGATGGCAAAGTCATAACTCAGCATCAGCAGTGTGGCAAAGACCAATACTGAGGGGTGAGAAGTGTGAGCTACCAAGGTTTAGTGGCCTCATTCTCTATGATGAAAAAGGAAGACTGCTTCGTGATTCAGAGAATGAAACTCAATGCAAGGAAGCTCCAAAACAGGTAATCATTCACCACCTTGACACTCATCATAATAGCATAATGGAATTCATTCTTGTAGACAAAATGACTCTTCCAATAGACCTCATTAATTGAGACTACTCTTAACAATAATGAAAATGGAAAACAATGACACTGGAGCTATTTGGTGGCCAACCCAGAAACAATAAAGTGAATGCATGATATTTATATCCATTCCAGTCCAGGCAATTGTGAGAATCAGGCAGTCAAAATGGAGATCAATATATATACATCAAACTTTAATACAAAAAAAAAAAAAAAGTCTCTTAAGTAACTTGTTTGTGGCTGCCTTGCCTGTTACATCTGATGAACTTGGCTTCAATTCGAATAATGCCAGGTTGGACCGATACAACTGCAGGAATGGTGCAACATGCCTTTTTTGCAATAATACCATTTTGAAGCACAGTGCACCTGTCAAATGAATGCATAAATACACAAGAAATTTGAACTTTATTCATAATCCCAACTTCTTGTCACTCTCTAGCATGCAATAGTAATTTCTCCAAGATATTGAATCACAGGAATGTTGCGAATTCCAGTTTCAGACAACATTTTTGCTGCATTTGTTCATTTACAACTTGATTTTGTTTTGTGCAGGAAAAGAGAAATGTTACAAGGAGAACTACTCTACAAGATTTACTGTAGTACTTTTGTAACTGGGTTTTCCTTTCTCTTGTAAGTTGTATCTGACAGACAATGAGGCTTTACAGTAATGACATGATGCGATCTAGTTTAAATATGCAATTATCATTTCAAAAAACTGCAGTTTTTCCTTTGCGTTCCACAATGCATTTTCTATTTCAATGGTAATAGTTTCCAAATTGATCACACCCTTCTTCTCTTTTTCTACTAATTTGAATGACTTCCTTTGCGTTCCACAATGCATTTTCCATTTCAATGGTAATACTTTCCAAAGTGATCACACCCTTCTTCTCTTTTTCTACTAATTTGAATGACACGCCATTAAATACAGCTTGTAGGCAGCAGCAAAACCAGAGAAAGACAAGAACATGGAAACAAACACAAGATGGTATTCAATTCAACTAACATGTTATCGTAGGAGAGATCATTGAAATTTTTTTTTTGTCAATGTAATACTTGATTTACAGGGAAATCCTATTTCATGAAGACAGTCAAATCTTAACACTATTGTTTTATGTTGTATCATTTAACTGCATAATTTATGCTCACATGCGATTCGGCTATAAATTCTACATTAGCAAGTATTAACATATCTAGTTTTAGAACAATCTTTGTGCATCAAATGGTTGCCTGACCAAAAACTAACCCCCAACCCACAAATACACAATGGGAAGAATTTGGCTAACTGGGATATCAGGTTAATTGAGGAAAAGATAGCTCTCTGATAATCAACAATTCAAAAGCATGTAAGCTAAAAAGAAATGACAAAACCCAAAAACTTGATCTGAGTCTAAAATGGAAAGGCAACTTAGAGAATAATATACACCTTCACCTAACACCTTAAGGTTTTGGGTTAAAATGGTTCTTTACATGGTATCAGAGCTTAAAGTGTTAGGTGAAATGGTTTTTTACATCGTATCAGAGCTCTGATACCATGTAAAGAACCATTTCAACCCAAAACCTTAAGGTGTTAGGTGAAGGCCTTTTCAATGGTTTATATTATTCTCTAACACAACTCATTTTTAACTAATCCCAAATACAGATAACATTAAGATTGTGTTTAGATGATCTTTACTTCAGAAAATTGATGTTATTGCAAAAGAAAAGTATTTTTCAGTATACTGGTAGAGATTGAATACCTAAAGTAAGAAGATTAAGAGTTTTGATTGGCGCTATTTTTATCTTTAAGATATCACGGTGGAAATTAACATCATTCTCTTATTGCAAATATTTCATCCACTCATTTCATGAAAAGCATCAATTCGTACATAGTAAAATAAAATGTTTACAGAAGACAATGCCAGAAATGAATTAAAATATCATAAAAGGGCAAATTCAAATATCCCAATAAGTTGAATGAAAAACTTCATATCTCAAAACCATATATTCACTCACTCAAATCATGGAGAATGTTTCATACATAAAGAATGCTCGTGACTGATTTCAGAGAACAACCTCACACTGACTGTGAAAGACCATAAATCTTAATCACAAATAGTGTATTTGCCTTTATCTTCACTTTGCCCTCACTCAGCAGTACGGATCATATTCATGCATACACTATCAAGGGTTCTCTGGAGTCTTCACTAGATGAATTCTTGTAATACAAGTATAATACCAATTGTATCATTCCCAAAACAGTTCCTATCCCATTTGGTACCTACAAAATCAAACACAAATGTAGGTGTACAAATATAAGCCAACAGAATAAACATTTGAAACTAAAATGGATACTTCAAGAGGAAATAGGAAAGAAACGAGCCAACTGAGCTGAAAGGACTCTTACATAAATGTAGGCATCATCACTGAGCAATCCGTAAAGAAAGAAGGAGACGCTCATTAGGAAGGTGGAAAGCGAAAGATAAAATGGCATAAACTCAACACTCTTCGTCTGAATGACCAGTTTCTGGCAAATATATATAGATAAATATGTAAACAAATTCACCAAACCAAAAGATGTAGAAACTAGAACAACTCAATATTGGATGGATATTTAGGAAATGACAGAGGGTAAGCCTTGGAGCAGCAGTAATGTTGTTTCTTGTGACCGGAGGTCACGGGTTCAAGTCAGGGAAACAACATCTTTGCAAAAAATACAAAAGTAAGGCTGTGTACAATCAACCCTCATCCTTTCCCTCGCATGTCTAGGAAACCTTGTGTACCGGGGTTTTCCCTTTGTCCTTTATTTAGGAAATGACAAACTTACAATTATGAACAAAGGAGAGGCGAACATTGAAATGAGAGAAGCACAACTCAAGAATCCCACAAACATCCGGCGCATTGAACTGTCAGTTATTTGCATGCTCCCCACTAGTATGATTACAAATAAGCCCAAAACTACCAGCAGCAATCCAAGCATTCTCACCTATCAAATGGAAATTAAGAGTAGCACAGCTTAGACATGAATCAATGTGTTTTGGGCAATTATCATATTATGATAAGTTTCCAATAGTATCAGAAGAATAACCTTTTTTGCTTTCTCAGCATACATCAAGAAGAGGATTATGTACACAAGCTGAAAGGCTGCTCCAACTGAATTAACACTTGTAACCAACAGATTATCAGGTGATATCAAAGGCGTGCCATACCACAAGCAGATCAAGCAGTTCAAGAGAGAATAAATATATGGCAACCCTGAGAACATTTCTGTTGACCCATTTCTGATAATTCTCCTAAACGTGGGTCTATAATTCAGAACAAAACAAGAGTTAATAAAGAAGGGATAAAACTAACAAAATCTTCTTTAGCATTTTTTTTTTTTTGAAAAAAAAAAAAAATCCATTTAAGAAACTTACATGGGGGATACAAACAACCCAAAAGCAAAGATGTTCCCTGCAAATAAGTAAGCATATATTGTGATCAACATAAAGATAGGTCAAAAGTGTAATCCCCTAGCTTATGGTATTTGTAAATATGGGTTTTTCCGTTCATTAAAAAAAAAAGTACCTTTTTTTTTATTTTATTTTAACAAAAAAAAAAATCAGAAACTGAGAGAAAGAGAAAGTACCAGCAACTCCAGCTGCATCCTTTCCAACTTCACAGATGGAATAAGCGTCAAACAGAGACATCAATCTTCAAACAAGAACTCTCTCTCTCTCTCTAAAGTCACAATTATCCACGTTTTCTAACAGGTTTCTCTCTCTAAATCAATGCTAAGATGTCCTGAGCTGTACTCGACGACTCAACCTCTTATTTGTGGTTATGGTTGACTATGACAAGTAGCAGAACGACTCAAAAATAAGACGCTAATCGCCACGAAAGCGGAACCAAATTGCTTTTGTGTATGTGGATATTCCATTGTCTCCACAATATAAGCGTAATTTCCCATTTATAATACGAGAAAAGTGTCATTTTTAAAGAATATAAAATTATAAAATTGTGTTATTTTAATTGAGGAGAAAAAAATAGATAAATAAGAAGATAAAGTTGACAGAAAAATATAAATATATAGATTCTACCTCTTTGTGAGGGCTTTTTCACCTTTTTACCCCTTATTAATTAATTAATAACCATTTTGCCCCTGATTCGAAACTATTTATCAATCTGCCCCTCTTTAGTCGACTACATTGCATTTTTAATCGACTAAATGACCAAAACAGACAAAAAATGGCTGCTGGGAGATTTAGTCGACTAAATCTCCCTATTTAGTCGACTAAATCTTCATATTTTACAAAAAAAAAAAATAAGTCAGTATGATTTTAATCGATTAAGTAGAGAGATTTAGTCGATTAAATCTCCCAACAACCGTTTAGTCGATTAAAAATGCAAGGTAGTCGATTAAAGAGGGGCAGATTGGTAGATAGTTTCGAATCAGGGGCAAAATGGTTATTAATTAATTAATAAGGGGCAAAAGGGTGAAAAAACCTCTTTGTGAGAGTAAAATGACATAAATTACATTCTTTAAAAGAACAAATATTTTTTTCTTATAATATATCAGCATAACTTTAGAATATTTTAAAATTGAGAAAATACCACTTAATTAATTAATAAAGGATGGTTTTAACTTAACCAATCATGTCGTGTTTAGGGCTATTTTATGGAAACATTAGTTAAAACTCGATAGCAAAAATTTTATTGAATCATTAACAAAATCATTAGATAATAATTTAATAGTTCTTAGATCTACACACGAATAAGTTAATCATGTCCCTTTAAAATTTATTATTTCACTCAAAAAATTATTTAAATATCTTTTACGAAACTACACGATTTAGTAGGGATCGTTAAAAAAAATTTCTTTTAATAAAATTGAAATATTATTAACTAATAACGATATAGTGTGTGTGGTATCTTCTTAAGCAACCAATCTGACTAGACGCTGAGCTGTCAGATTTACGGACATCGGAATAGAAGAAAAACTAAGAAAAACTATCAAGAGTTTACATGTTCCAATATTTTCAAATACAATTATAGTTAAGATTTTTAATTTTATAAAATCTTAAAAATTAGTTCAATTAATAAAAATTTTATTAATATTTTTAATATTGAGAAAAGAAGTTTAAGAACTAATTAAAGAAATCGAGTAAAGTAAATATCTTCTTTGAATAAATAAATGATTAAATAAAATATATTAATTTAATTTGATATTAAAAGTCAAATTGTTAGACAATTGACTGAGGGGTAAATTAAGTTTTGAAAATCTTTTCGTAAATGAAATTTTTTTTTTGCAAAAATTAATTTCCTAGTATCTTTGAGTTAAAGATATGATTAGCTAGGTAAATATAACAGTGTCTAGCCAAGGAATCAAAACAATGCAGTAGCTAAATGTGCAACTAATATGCTTAACAAATCAATAAAACGGTGTAAATAAAAAGATAAGGAACTGATAAAAATGCAAATAAGGTTTATGTTGCTTCGCCTACCACCACTTATTATCCATGTTAAGTCCTAAAAGCTTTCACCCAAGATTTATGCAGTTTACACGCAGCTTCAACGGGTGCTTGATATATTATTACAAACTCCAAACTTTCAGATACTTAGAAATCTTACAATTCAACATTTTCCAGTTATTTGGCAACCTTTCACTATTCTTATGTTTTACTATCCTCAATCACGAAAATATTTAGAAATGAATAAATACTCTTAGGGGACGTTTGGTAAAGGATAAAAAAAATTTTACTAAGAAAATGTAATTACTAGAGAGATGGTGAAAAATGAAGTTTGATAGGAAAATTAAAAAAAAAGTTGTTTGGTTGGCCAAAATTTTACCGGGAAAATTGGGTAGAATTTTATAAGTCTATGTTTGGTTGAAGATAAAATATTGATGGATAAATGAGTTAAAATTACCAAATTAACCCCTTTTTAATTTTTGAATGTCAATAGAAGTATATCTTTCCTCCAACGTGTTCCGTCATCCATATCTCTATCTCTCCTACCAACAGAGTCTCAGATTACATTTAGATGAGGGGCATTTCAGTCTACAATATCGTGCCAATTTTTTCACTTCCCTAATCTTCTGCAAATACCACCTCTGAGATGGTATTCGCAAACAGTGTTTTTGACATCAATTTACACACAACTTGAGTTTGCATGGGTAACAAGGTTACCTGGTTATATTTTTTTTAACCCTCTAACAAACATGGTATCCCACTCTCACTTACCCATCCATCCCACCAGAAATCATCTACCAAACGTCCCCTTAAAGTATAAATATACAAGTTGAAGCGTAATGGGAATATAATAATTCGCAGAATAAAATCTCAAAGAACTAATTGATCAAGAATGAGTTAGATGCACTAATAATGACTCAATAAATGTCAAAGTAGTCACTATAAGAAATTTGGTAAATATCGACCCTTTTTTGAGGTAGTTATGCTTAAATCACCTCCAAATGATATTTAGAGGCGGTTTTTCCGGCGATTATATTAATTCGAGACGGTTACAATAAATGTATATTAGATGCAGTTAAAATAATTGTCCACATTGAACATTTAGAGGCGGTTGTAGTATAACTGCCTCTAAATATAGCAATTATTATAATTGCCTCTGAATGTATATTAGAGGCGGTAAAAATAACCACCCATGTTGAACATTTAGAGGCAGTTTTGGTATAACCGCCTCAAAATGTAGCAATTAGAGGCAATTTTACTATAACCGCCTCTAAATGTTCAATAAGGGCGAATATTTTAACAACCTCTAATATACATTTAAAGGCAGTTATATCATAGTCGACTCCAAATGTATATTAGAGGCGGTTAAAATAACTGTCCCCATTGAACATTTAGAGATGGACAGAGGCTTGCTCACACAGTTTCGAGCAATGATATTCAAAGAGGGAGATATCTTTGTTCAGCCGTTGGATCATCCTCAAATTTGGTCAGTGTGTTCTTCTTTTATAATATTTTAATTTGACCGTTCAGATTTTTAAGTTAGATTATATGGTGTTATATATAAATTTCGGAAGATGGCTGTTGCACATTAAAAAAACCTTTTAACCTTCACTTTGATGTCCCACATTGGATAACCCTTGTTCCTCTTTCTCCATTTCCTTCTATATAAGAACCCACACATACACAAAGTTTAATAAGCTATTTCTATTCAACTAATTCAAAATAAAAATTGAAAATTTATATAATATAAACTTTTAACAGTTCTAATATTTTCTAAAAATTTTGTCGAAAATAAAAGATAATGAAAATCACTTTGGCATGTAACTATTAGCAATTAGTAACAAGCACAATTGTAAAATTACTATTACTTTTTACCTAATTATCATATTATTGAGGTATTATTTGGAGATGGTTATATTGCCTCAAAATGTATTTTGGAGGCGGTTATAATAACCGCCTTATAATATCTTTTGAAAGAGGTTAAAATAATCGCATCATATTGTCATTTGGAGGTGGTTATTCCAGCGGTTCATGAAAACCGCCCTAGATTGCCTCGGGACGGTGGTAACTTCGATGGTTCATTAATCGCATGCAGGAAGAAGAGACATCAGGAGCAAGGCCCTAAAAGGCTCAAATGGACAAGAATAAGAACTATATAGATGTGCTTCTAATGTATGTTTCTTGTAGAGTTTTGGCCTTTTAGGTATGTGGGGTGTTTGCGTGTGAATTGTTCTAACACCTTAATGAATGATAATATAGGATTTTTGAGTCCATATATTTTTCCCATGCAGATGATTTATAAAGCGTGATATTCAAGTAAGGTTATAAGGAAAGTTTCAATATTTTTGGTTGACTATTAAAGTAAAGAGCAAGTAAACTAAAACTATCTAATTAAACTAATAAAAACAGTAAACAAGGCTAAGTGATTAAAGATATGGATGTGAAAACTAGGTTAGGATCAATATCCCCAATACTTTAATGATGCAACGATGCTATAACAATGTTGTATCAATGTTTAATTAATAACTGAACACTATTTTGTGTAGGCACTCTTGCCAACCTTACATGTATAACCCAATACTTAATCCCCATATCTCTATGCTAAAGTTAACTACTGAATTCATTGAAGCACAAGTTCTAAGACTATAAAGTGTGAATGATCTCTTTACCCATAACTTAATTAGAGTATATTTAATCTAATTAATCCACACTACTCAACAAGGGTCTGGATTCAGAAACCTCCGGCCCCAGCCTCTTTTTTTATCATATACGTACCTCTCGGCATGCACACATGAATAAAATAAAGCAAACTTGTTGAATACCTAATAAAACATTCATAAAAACAAAATTTAGGCATTCATTACACTATTACAACATAGGTGCTCTATCACCTAGCCTAACAAAATGTTTTGCTCATGGTAAAATAAAAGAAAATAGAAAAAAAGAAGAAGAAATCCTTGGAGAAATAGAAAAGAAAACGAGAACAAGCTATCCTAAGACTTCGCGCGTAGTTCTTCTCCAGCACTGCTCTGTTAGCCCTTTTTCCTCCGAGAATCTCTCTCTAGGGTTCTTCCCTCTCAGGCTTGAACCCATCCACTATTTCTCGATTAGTAGGGGAAAACTAACTATGAAAAGCTTTGATTATAATGTCATGATCCTCAATTTTTGAGCCTCTGCATGAGCATGTCTACATAGGCTTGGCTGACTTTGGATCCAAGTTTGGATTTGAATTTGAAATTCCAGCACTGCAGCTTGATCTTCTGGTGTAGATGTTGTTCAATCCTTGTTAATATGATCTTCTTGTCTATTTTGGATTAGGATAAGGTGTTATCTTCATTTAATATGAG